CGGAAACAATTCTGAAAGGAGAAGGCAGGCAGTACGATGCCATTGTAGAATATCACGAAAGGTTCCACGGGATAATACCGAAATGGGAATTCACATTCTGAATTTGGAACATCTTCTCATTCAGATGGGAAGAGCAGGAGTCGGTACATGATGCTGCAAGTCTGATGACGCGGTATGGATTCTCGTCAACAAAACGCCAGCACTCTTGGATCCTGAATCTCTGAAGTTTGAAGCTACTCTACTCAGGTGTCGACTCTTCGACCACATTCAGGCCGGTGATGGCGTTGTGGTAAAATCCTATTTGACTGGTAGAATCACTAAACGTAAGACTCTCAGTGGAAATGTGGCAATGATCCGGACGAAGCTTAGACTTTGTTATAGATCTATGTGCCAAACTCAGAGGTAGCATACGGGTTCTGTACGAAGTGCTGAATACAGAATCCATCATTCTAATGGGCGGTTTCAAGGCTGACTCAAAGTAGACACTGAAAGTTGAAAGGAGAGATTTGAAGGAGCAACGTTACCGACCTCAACAATAACAACATGAAGCTGTTGCGGTTTTGTGCAAACAGCAGGTTGCTAGTTATGAATAGCTTTTCTGAGTATTTTAGCGTGCCTCGATATGCCTCACATAGGGAGCATGTGTACAGAGGTCAATGACCAATTTAATAATCGTATCGTCTGACTCTCGACCCTTCTGACCACCGTACCTATGAGATAGACTGAACAGCAGTCTCAAAGTTGTGAGAGACATGTCCAGATATCTTCATATCAAGAAAGGGGGTATGCTTCGACGATGGCTAAGATAGATCACGAAACTCCTTACCCAGGATGAATCGCAGCAGGACTATCCAAAAAGGCAAGAGGCAACGGATATTAGAGTTTTACTTCTAAAATCTACGTTCGAGAAAAGGCTGGAAAACTGACAAGGTTGTTGCAATCAATGACATCCTCCATTTAATGTTTGAACAAAGATGTTGTGGCTAACGAGGTTCTTTCAAGCAGCAGTGATTACTAGGAAGACACCGGTGAACTGAAGAAATAGAGTGTTAGTTTCACTGTTCCAAAAAGAAGACTGCAGGGACTGCTCCAGGTATTGCATCTACCGGGAAGAGTGTACGAAAACGTTGTGAAAGGGAAGAATATAGGAATATCTGCCTCTAAGATACAAGAAGAACAATGTGGCTTCAGGACAGGTCGAAGTAGTTCTGATTTACGTCATATCAAGATTGTTCTGAACTCATGAAAGCCTGCGTATTCGGCTTACATGCACATTGTTGATCATGACAAATTGTATTACTGTATCGATGGCGAATTGCTACAATATACTGACAGCAGGTGGTACGTAAGAACAGAACAAATGGTTTAAAGTCGACACCGTTCGACGTTGGCGCAGGCAAGTAAACGGCTGTATCAGCGAAGCAGATGTAGATACAGGAAGGTGACTGTGTGCAGACGACCTTGTTTTGTTGGCACCTGTACCCGTCATGGCTGTGAACGTGTTTGAAATCAAAAGCCTAGTGATTTCTC